CTGAGCAAATGAATTCAAGTTTGACTTGAAGGATCACATGTATGGTCTGCTGTGCGCGCCATATTGAAACAGTTGGCGCATCTTGAAACAACATGTTCCACACACATACACACACACACGTACATCGTTTCCTTTGTAAAACAAGTTCTCTCATATGTCAAACCACGTCAAGTTGCTGTCATAATTTACCGTCACATTAATTCGTCTGATATTTATGTGCTCGTTGAGAATGTAAATTTCCGCCTGGAGTACTAGAAATCATCTAAATTGTTCTTCCCATTTCACTCCTCATGAAAATTTTAAAACCAATAATTGGCTTAATATACTTGTTAGCAACGAGCAACTGGCAAATAATTTTGATCTTTCAATACATCTCAAAGCTCTTAAAAATACATCAAGTTTCGTATCATTTTTCACATTATTTCAGGATTCCCTGTGGAAAATTTAGAACCAACAATCTGAGTATACTCGTTGATAAAGTGATTTTAATTAAAGTATATTACCCGAGTAATATTGATTTTTTCAATATATCTCACAATTCTTAGCGACATAGTAACAATTAAGTTAAATTAAACTACTTTCTCATCTAATTAATTTTCATCTAATCAATTTAATTAATTTAATTATTATATAATTAAATTATATATTATAGATTATATATATTATATAATTAAATTAATTAAATTTTAATATTATATTTAATTTAATTAATTAAATTAATTATTGTGTAATTTAATTAATTAAATTTTTTCATCTACAACTTTCGTTCTTCCAAACTGGTTTATACGAGCAAATTTGTATGGTTTGTATAATTTATTTATATGACTGTGTACAATGTTGTGTACGATGTAATCCTTTATGCCAAAGGGAATTTATCTATGCAAACACCGAAAAAACGAACAAGAATAAGAGTAATAACAATTTGGAGGTCTCGATTTGTCGAGGCAACGTATTTGTGCCCCGCCACAAGTTTCTTTCGAGTACGATTTTAGATAAACCGTGCCGAAGCACCGCGTGTGAAAGATTTAGGAGAGTGCGCGCCTTCTCCCTGTTAAGCGCGCCGACAAGTGTAATCGGCTTGAACTCGGCTCGGCAGGGCGTTTAAGGTACCGCCGCGGAATTTGACCGCGTTTTGCATAACAATGCAGGAATTAAATCGCGAAGAAAATGGCGTTGAATTTCCGGTACCGTGCCGTTCGCTTAATGAGGTAACGGGTCACAAACTTCCAAATTGCCTTTTTAGAATGGTAACGGAAGTCTTTTCCCCTCTTTCTCTTCTCTCATCTCCTCGTCTGTTTTTTCCTCTCCTCTCCGACGAGCTTGTCGTGACTTCGTTAAACCATTATTTTTGTCGTTCCACTTTTTGACGATTAGATCATCGTCGTCCGGGACATCCGTTCTTCATTATATCGGAATTCACGGATTCGCTGGGACAGTAAATCTACCGAAAAAATAACTGTTTCGATAAATCCGTTAATTGAAGTTCGTGAACAAGCTTTATTGTACGGAAACGCAATGTTAAATTCGGCTAGAAGCAGCTAAAGTATGAAAAGTCGATTCAATAAGTGGGAAAAAGTAAAAATTGAAAATAAGAAAGAGGTTAAAAAAAAGAATTGTCTCACATGACAATGATTGTTAAAAAAAAACGCAGATATAATATTGTTTAATAGAGAAAATGTTGCAAGCGAAGGTGAAAACGATGTCAAAAGTATCGTTATTTATTATTAAGCCTGATCGCGCTTGAATCCTGCTCGAATTTTTCAATTTCTCATTTAAGACAGTGGAGACTCGTATCTGAGGGCGAGGGACCTTGAAAGAAATCAGGTCTGAGTATTTTCTGTGCCTTAACTTTATTTATTTACACGGAAATATATTATATATAATATATATATATATATATATATATATCACTTTTTTTGTGTCACTATATAACCCTTGAGATTTACACGTAAAAGCTATTATCTTCTATCATCGTCGCCCTCGCTAATACACATTTAAAAACACGTCGAAATCTGTCCGTTCTTCTCATGTCTGACATTTAACGATAAACATCGAAAAAGTGGGGAAATAGATTGAAAACTGCCGACAAGCTGGTGGGTTGAGCGCAGGACGTACTTAGCGTCCGAATATCTCGTCGAGAAACGCTTTACGATCACACACGAAGAGGCATGCGGCGATCCTGGCGTTAGTGTTGAGGTGATGAAAAAGGGGGGGCAGGAAAGGACAATCAAGCCGAGCCTCCGTAATACTGTTTACATATTGTCCTTTCGTCGATCCGCCGTTGTCCCGTCCACACGCTTTCCCCAAAAGTGAAAAGCTAAAAGATGTGAGCAAATATTGTGAAATGCGACTTATACCTTCCCGATATCGGCCGGACCGAAATTGATTTGCACAACGACACTGATTTATCCAACGAAATCAATTTATAAAACGATTTATAAACGAGATCAGCATGCACAATAGCTTCGACGACACACAGCGGCACGGAACAATGGGATCATAAATTTCCAGACACCGTCGTCCAACTGTCGGCGACTCACGTCACGCATTCGTCTCGCAATTGCGTCGCTCCGCAATAACGTCGATTCGAATTGAGCGGATAAATCGGGTACAAACGTTTCTAGGAACTCGCAGGGTCGCCCGTCTTTTTACAGCAGTCGAGAAAGAAAAACGATCAAGAAGCAAATCGATCGCGAGTAGAATCGCATTCATCTTTCCGCTCGTCGGGCTACTTCATTCACGCGAAGAGACCGCGACAGACTTCACCAACGGCGAAGAGTTTCGAGTCGTCGATCTCTCTTTGTCGATGAGTAGATCAAGCATGGATCAAAGCCCCCGTTGTCTCCTCGACGCGGTAATATTGATGCAAACTTCTCGCAACGAATGACTATTACAATGGCCATTTGTTCGCAGAGCTATAAACTTTACAAGTAGTCGCGAAAACGGTAAAATACACGATGCAACAAAGCGGCTTTGTGCGCTCGTTATTTACACAGTGCTATTTGTTTACGGAAAATTTCTTTCTCAGCAAGTGTTGAGGCATCGATAGTTTCTCTCTCAGATGCGAGCGAGGCTCTTTGAAAGCCTCAGGCGACCAAGTAAATAACAAAATGATTTCCTCCGATCAATCCCCGGAGGATTGACTTAAATTTTTTAATCTAACCTTCAAGGATGTGCCACTTTCATAAGAAATAGCGCAGTGTAAATAAAATAATGGGCGCGAATCACTGGGAACTCTCTCTCTCTCTCTCTCTCTCTGCGCACTCAAAATTTTTGCAAAATACATGAAAATAAAAAACTGTGGGATGCGTTCAGAAAACACGGCGGTTATTGATTGTTGCTTTTGAATGAAGTGTACTTTTAGATCTGTAACAGATCTAAAATATTTCAGCGAACGCAAACATTCACTCGCAGCTGCATCTTTTGGATATAGCTATATTCGTAAAATGACATAAACATAAAATATCCTGGAAACTTTTCCATTTTTCTAATAAATAACGGTCGAGATGACCGCAACGTGGAAATGGGAAAACTTCAAACGTGCTTGAGAAAACAATTCGAGCAGTAAATATTCAGTAATGTAAAAAAACCACGACGGTGTCGCAACGCGCTGCCGCTACCTCATCCGGCCGCATCTCTGAACATGTCGCTTTCTCATCAGTCTCATGATTAAAACCTGCCCTCTCCGATTTGGACTAAAGACGATTTAATAAACGTTCGATGTAAAGTGGCTCGTCATCGTGGAAACGTAAAATGCAAAGTGTATATCGTCTATTTTATACGCATAAAATACGAAGTCACACTAAACGAATATCTTTTTTGACATATGAAGAGAACGATTCGCACTTAACACTAGCGTTCAAATCGCACCTCAAGCCCATCGCGCTCGGCTTCGTCCTTACTACGTATAAACTCTATGCGCAATTATCGGAATATTCGGTGTCCCTTGCAGTGACTATAGCACTTTCCACTCGGGGGTCGTGCGACCCCTTCATGAGATTGGAACTCGCCTACAAGAACTTCTTTCAATGCCGCATCAAACCCGATAGAATAGACCCGATCGCTGCGGGGATGAAAATTCATTCTTACTTCCGCGGAATTCGCCGTAGGGCCGAAATGTCACAAAAACGTGCTACAACCTCGAGTTGCAGTGCCGCAAAATTATAGCAAAGCTTATATGCCTTTGTCAATTTATCGTCTTTTTCTCACTGTTCAACAACAACAACACGTCCGTTGAATGCGGCATTAGAAGAAAGCGTTACTTTGGTCGTGCACTCGCTGTACGAAAGAACTTATGGCATCTGCTGTGTGGATATTGCTAAAACAATTCTTTCTTTTTAATAGAAACGAGAAAAAAAACGTCCGCCCGCGGTGTGTAGAAACTTGCCGCTCACCTCGACAGATCTGAATATCGGCTTCGACAGTTTCTTCACACACGCACACACATACACATATACAGGTGATATAAATACAATATTAAAATGCATCGATAAATGTGTAGCATCTCGAAAATCTCACAATCGATCCATAAAAAATATTTACTATATATACAAATTGCCCTTCCTTTTTTTCCGTCTTTCTCATTCGTTCCGCTCTGACGTTCTACCGTTGCCATGATCGTCAAGCTGCATTTCGTCAAGCTGCAACTGTCCAGATTTGCAAACGTCAGTTTCAGCACAGTAGTCTCCGGCTTATTCATGATGTATACGTATACCGCATATTTCTACAGTGTATGAATTGCACGAAAAGCCTTCATGTAAGCGCTCTGCACGGTCCATTCACCGAATCGCTATCCAGTGCAATTGCAGTTAACGAAACGTAGTCAGTCTTGAGACGCTTTCATAAAAACTTTCTACCTTCCCGTCATAAAGTTTTATCTATATATATATATATAGATAAAAAATATATAATATATATATATATAATATATATATATTATATATTTTTACATACACATATATATATACATTATTATACATATATATATATATATGTATATATATGTATAATATATATTTGAAATTATCATGTTACTTGGTGGCTTGGCACATCCTTCCTAGCACGTAAATATCCTGATTACACATGTATATGCTTCTCATGCGATTACCAGCGGCTCGTCATCCGAGAAACCTCGAATCACTGGGCTGTCTTCTTCCTCTGTCGAAAAGACGAAAAACACAAATCATTAATATTCTCGTACGTCGTTACCAAACGGGATTCGAATAAGAATTCAATCTCGTGCTTGGGTCCACCAAGACGTTTGATGTTTAGAGATCGCAGAAATCGTGATAAACAATAGTTTCCCGACTGATCCTTGACTGATCATTATAAATTAAAAAAAAAAAAAAATGTACTGGAGACAAAGGAAATCTATTGATATCTTTTTACACTCGCGCTTTTCGAATGTGTGATAAACATGAGAAATTACCTAAACCATCCGTCGTACCCGGGAAAGTAGCCTGACCTCGCCTCGTATCGTAGTGACTGTTGGCGAATTGCGTAAAGCTGTTGGAGAGCCTCCTGTGTCGTATAACGAAATACGCCAGCGCCGAGCCGAGCGCCACGACGAGCAGACAGATCGGTATGGCGAGGGACAGTATGTTCGACGTGCTCATTATCACCGGGTACTGTGCTCCTGCTGGATATACACAGGGAAAGCGTCTTATTAATTAATATCAACGCGCCACGCTCGTTGATGGAAAATCAAAAGAAAAAACGAGAACAATAAGTACGGAAAGAAACGTGATATGACAAAATGCAGTGACAAAGAGATGTAGTGAAGATACAATGGGAAAGATGAGGAAGAAGAGATATAAACTGACATCTGAAGAAGACGAGAGTTCCTGAGAATTATTGTGTCGGAACTAACCGGATATCTGCGTGCTCCAGGTCTCGCTCAACGAACTCTGGTATCCCTCTTCGGTGACTAGTCGTGCGGCGAACGTGTAAATCGTGTCCGTCTTAGCATCCTTGTAGATGTAAAACGGCTTCTGATCTGCCCACAGGATCTTCGCGGTCGACTCGTTTATCATCCTCGAGCCCTCGGCCACGAGAATTTCGTAGTGCCAATTGATATCCTTCTTCATGTTCTCCGGCAGGTCTGGCTCTTGCCAGTAAATGTAATAGTCTCGGTTGTTACGCAAAACGCTCAACTGATGGGGTGACTTGATCGGCGGAGCTACGTAGATGAACGGTTGGCTAGGTATAGCGTTCTCTACGTCGGTCGCTACCGTAATACTGTACTTCCCGCTGTACTTGAACGAATGGAACGTATGCTTCATGACGGTCTCGTTAGTCGGCGACAACGTCACGACTGTCGGCTTGTTGAGGATCATTTCCGTAACAGTGATCTGTGAACGAGAAAGACGAACACGCACGGTGTAATAAAACATCAGACGCGCATAAAAGCAAAATTCGAATTCGAATTCTCGACAAACGTTGAGAAATTCCTCGTCCCGCTATTCGTCCCGCTGTTGTAATGTGCAGACGTGACCGGTGCGAAGGTATTATGATACATATGAACGTTATATGATCGAGCTATCGGCTTACCGTGTAACTGATCGGCTCGTCGATCGTTGGGCAGCTCGCGTACCACGAGACGATAAAGCTATCGTTTTTATCCGACGACGGGGTCACGCGCAATCTCTTCGGGGGCGCGCGCTTGTTGAAGTGCGTCGTGACTGACACCGGTTGATTCAGCGGTCCTGCCCCGTACTCGCCGTTCACACCAACGGCGAAGAAATACGCCTCGCACGCTTCCAAGTCTTTGATCGTAGCCGTGAGATTAGTCGTCGTGAGCTTCGCAGCTACAAAACGAAGATATCCTTTGTTGAAGTGGCACAAAGTGGAAGCAAAGAGCAATGTCTCATTGCAGTATGTAGCGATTATATACCGTTAAAAAATACAATATTATACTAGTAATACTAAAAGCATAATATTACATGAAAATATAAATAAGAGCGCGTGATAAGCGCGGACGGGCACTTTTGTCGCCATTGGAGCTATATAAATAAAATAAATAGAGCAATAAATTAGAACGAGAACACCGCTACTTTTTCTTTCGTAGAACCGAGAGAGATTGTTCCAAGCAGAACGTTCATGCCTGTCTTCCACGTACTGAGTAAGATATGACATTGTAACTTGACGAATTTCGCTATAAACCTTTCAAACAAGCCAATTATTTATAAACGGATATTATATTAACGGGCAAAAATATAAATAATACGAATAAAAAGTTATCGAGTATTTATATTATAATACTGTGATATATCGCTATTTCATTACAGCAAAATAGCGTCTAGAAAACTCGTTCAATTCTTGATAAACCCAATCTACCCGATCTACGATTTCAAAACAACTGTAAGCAAGCGAGCGTCGATTGCCCTACTCGGAAACTGATATGCAAGGAGGTTCCCACGTCGAGGAAACTGCGGAGCAAGCTCACCTTTAAAGAAGTCCATCATGTTGATGGCATAATAAATAGCGTACTGCCATTTGATCTTTCGGGTGCTCTTCGGAGGATCCCAGGTGAGCTTCACGGTCGTTCTCTGGGACTTGACCAATTGCGCGTCAAGTTTCGTGATCGTTGGCAACGCAGTGCCGTTCGTCGTGGCTACCACCGTGGTGAACTTGCCCATGTACTGTTTCTTCATCGCGCCGACTTCGAACGTGTATTTCGTGCCCGGGGCCAGTTTCGTCACTTCTATCTCATTGTTCGTAGTCGAGACGGTCTGTATAATCGGATACGAGAGGGGTCCTCGGGGTGTGATGTGATAGCTGTCCACATCTTTCATCTTCCGCCATTTCAAGCTGACCGAGTGATTGGTCGTCGCGACGACTTGCAGGTCCTTGATGTCGTCGATGTTCGCCGAGCCGTCGAACATAAACGTGGTCACCTTCGACGAAGCCGACTGGTATTGCCGGTTCTTCGCCACGACCCAGAAGGAGTAATTCTTGTCCGCCTCGAAGGCCATGTCGATGATCGCCGAGGTCTTTTGCCGGGTGAACTCCAATGGTGGTATGGGCGGAGTGATGTAGCCATTGTAGCCGATGATGAGGCCGTTCGGCCGTGCAGGTGACCGCCAAGAGACCTCCACGCGAGTGCCATTCTTCTGGACGACCGTGACGTTCCACGGCTCGGAGGGCAAGCCCTCGCCAGTCATGACGATTAGATACTTGGCCGGCGGGAACACGGTGTTCTGACCCTTCAGCTTCACATATACCGTCAAGTTGTAGCGCGTGTAAGGGTCGAGGTTGTTGAACAAGTAATCGGTGTCTTCGATCCAGTCAGTAGCGTTGGTCCACGTAGCCCCGGGCACAGCTCGCGCGATCGACGGCAGGAACTCGAAAGTGACGTTGGCCGGTATCGGCATCCACCAGAAGAGGAAGAAGCTGGTGTCGTTGATGGAGCGCTCGTCCACGCCCATCACCAGGACCTGATAGACGCGCGAGCTGTTCTTCTCGCAATTGCTCTCGTCGAAGCCGTCGAAGCAGTCCTGGTTGCCATCGCAGTAGGCCGCCAAGGGGAAACAGCGCGTTTCGTCGCAAGGGAACAGGCCGACCAAGCATGACGGCCCGGCGGCCGGGCTGGATTCGTGATTGGTGAGGCAGCCGAGCTCGTCGCTGCCGTCCGGGCACTCCTCGATGCCGTTGCAGATGTTCGTCAGCGGCACGCACGAGCCGTCGCGCCGGCACATGAACTGATCGTTCTGGCACGACATATGCAGCTGGTCGCAGCGCACCTCGTCTTCGCCGGACGGACAGTCCTTGGAGCCGTCGCACACCCACGAGTTCTCGATGCAATCGCCGTTGTAGCACTGGAACTGGTGCTCGCGGCAAACTCGCGGCAGCTCCGTGAACAGTGGCGGCACAGTGTCCGACGTCATCTCCACGTTGCTGCAGCCAACCTCGTCGGAGTCGTCGCCGCAGTCGTCCACGCTGTCGCATTTCCACCAGTAGGGCACGCATTTCTTGTTGTTGCACATGAACATCCAGTCGTTGCACGAGTTGGTGGGCAGATTCGGCATCAACGGCGTCGGTACGTTTGGCGTGGTGGTGCAGTTGAATTCATCGGAGCCGTCGGCGCAGTCCTTATCGCCGTCGCATTTCCAGGACTTGTATATACAGCGGTGTGTCTCCTTGCTCGAGTTGCACGTAAACTGCCACGACTCGCACACCATGTTGTTGCACCCGGTCTCGTCCAGGCCGTCCTCGCAGTCGGGCTCGCCGTCGCACTTCCAAGCGGTGGGTATACACGAGTGGTCCTTCGGGCATACGATCTCGTCGGAGCGGCAAGTGCTCGGCAACACGTTTTTCGTGCAATTTAGCTCGTCCGAGCCGTCCCTGCAGTCGTCCTCGCCGTCGCAACGCCAACGGTGCGAGATGCAGCGGCCGTTGTCGCACTTGAATTGCGCGTCCGTGCAGTTGGAGTACGTGCAATTCCTCTCGTCCGCACCGTCCTTGCAGTCCCGGTCAAGGTCGCACACCCAATACCTGGGTATGCACTTGCCATCGCACTCAAAGTTGTTGGGGCTGCAGGTGGCCTTGTTGCATTGTTGCTCGTCGGAACCGTCGCCGCAGTCGTTGTCGCCGTCGCACTTCCAGAACTCCGGGATGCAAACACCGTTCAGGCAGGCGAACTGGTTCGAAGAGCACGTGCTGGCGATGCGCGGGCACGTGGAGTCGTTGTACGGCTTGTTGCCGCCCGGGCACATGCACTTGCCCTCGTGCATCACCATCCCGTCCGGGCAGAGGCACACGTGGCCGCCGTGCGGCGCGCCCAGGCAGATGTGCGAGCAGCTGTTATTCGCGCATGCGTTCGTGCCGACCTGCACGCTGTGCGCGAAGATCTTCAGGTCCATCAGGCCGGCCATCTGGCCGATTATCATCGATATCCCGACACCGTGGTCCTTGTTGGCGACAAATATCATGGACTGCTTCCAATCGTCCCAGTACATGTTGTCCTTGAACACGGCGACCGCGAACGGGTGCGACACGCGCTCGTCGCTGGCGATGATCTTCTTGAATCGCTTGCCGTCGAAGTCCGACGAGCCGATGTAATCGGCGCGCGCGTCCACCCAGTAGATACGCTCGGCGATGTGATCGATCGTTATGCCGTTCGGCCACTCGACCGTGGGCTTCACGAACAGCCGCTTCACGTCCGTGCCATCGAGATTGGCGCGCGACACCGAGGCGTTGCCCGGCGCCCAATCGGTCCAGAACATGTAGCCGTTCATCGGGTGCACCGCGATGCCTCTGGGTTTCTGCAGATTGTTCGGCCCCAATATCGTCCTGCGCATCCTGCCCATGGTAGAGACGTCCGTCCGGATGATCTGTATCCGCATCTTGACGCCGTCCACGAAGTAAAGCACGTTGGACACCCAGTCGAAGGCCATCCCTTCGATGGAACTCAAGTCGGTCTCGACGAGGATCTCGGGGTAACTGGTACCGTCTCTCAGGCATTGCCTACCGATGGTGTCGTTCACGATGTCCGCCCAGTACAGGCAATTGTTCTTCAGATCGAATTCTATGGCGATTACGTTCTTCAGCCCGTGCACCGGTAGCATCTCCAGGTTCTCGTCGACCAGGTCGATGCGCGAGATGTGCTCCCGTTGGGCGACCAGCAGAAACTCGCGACGCTCGTACATCGGGCAGGGTATCTCGTCGGGCTCGAAGTTCCTCGCGAGGCCGCCTTTGCATTCGTCGTCGGATATCTTCACGTAGCCTTTAGTACGGTTGTAAAACTCGCCGGAGTTGCATGTGCTCGGCACGGCGTAAGGGTCGTAATTCGGAATGGACTTGTCGCGGATGCACTGATAAGGACTGCCAAAGCGCACAAAGCCGTAGTCGCACTGATAGTCGTTCGCGTCGCATGGGCAGATCTCCGGTCTCATCGCTCGGGTGTAATTCAATCCTGTGTAGCAATTGGCGCGCAGCGCGCGTCTCTGGTACGTCTCCTTCTGGCCCAGCACGCACGACATCACTGGTTGCTCATCGCTCGACGGCGACCAGAACTTGTAATCGTCCTCTGTGCAGTCTCTCTCGAACACATTTCGCAGGTCGACTTTGATAATCAACCACTGATGTTGCCCGCTGTCTGAGCCGAACATGGTGAACACCGTGGTGTTCTCACCGGGCTCCGTCATGAGACCGTAGACGCGCAACATCTTTTCGTTGAACTCGTACGTTTGCCAAGTCTCGCCCTCGTCGGTCGAGTACGAGATATCCCTGGTCTCGCCGCGCGACTTGAAATACTTGACGGCCACCAGAAGGCCGCCGTAGTCGCCCATGTTGAAGAAGTAATAATCCTTCAGAACCTGCTTCCAAGTGAGACCGGCGTCTCGCGACACATACAGCGCGGGATGACCCTTCAAGCTCGGCCCGACCACGCCGGTGGCCATTATTATTCCGGGCGCAGACTTGGAGCTCATAATCGTCACGGATCTCGTCACCGGATACAACTGACTGAACCTCTGGCTCAGGTGCAACGAGCAATCTTTCGTGCAATGGATGTAAAAGCCCTCATGATTCGCTGCCGGAGCCTTGATGCTGAGCCACGTGACGCCGTGATCGAAGGTGATCACCGACGCCAGGTGTTCCGGTCCGATCGAACCTGATTTCGGGGCGCCTTTGACTTGCGACGCTATGTATATACCTCGGAGGCCTTCGACCTTGTACAGGTCCGTGAATGCTTCATCGGCCACGTCACTATACAGATAAGTGTACACGGATGCACATAGAAATAATCGAAACGGGAATTTTAAGAGAAGCTCATCTTTCAGTTCATCTTACTCACTTCAGCCAACTATCTTTCCAAGTGCTGTTAGGGAAAAATGTGAGGATGCCGTCCAGAGATAAAGTAAATATAGCTTTCTCGTGATCTATAACCTCCGACACGTAAAGATTCACCATGGTCTCGCTGTGGGATACCGCGATGAACACCCGATTGGACGACACGTCGACGATGTGATAATCCTTGCAGTCCAATTCTGTATTAAAATGCGCCATGACGAAGGACTGGTTTTTATAGGAGATGTAGAGGTCCAGATGTTCCGATGTCCCGTTCTATTAGTCAGAAAAGCGCATTAGTTGCCGGAAAAGCGATTAAATTTTATCAAAGCTCCACATATACAGAAAACTTCACGCGACGCTTAAGCACTCACCTTGGAGTTCTTCATGGTGGCGAACATATAGTCACCCCTTATTTGAAAGTCCTCGACATTCTGGATAACCGGAACAAATTCCTTCCGTATGGATAATCTTATACGCAGTGCATTAGCATTCCGCTGGTACGCAAGTAAGTTTTTGATATCCAATTTTAAAACGGTGTTCGAACCGCTGGGTTCTGTACGTTCCACATATAAAACTTGATAGGGCGACCAGAAGAAAGCCTTCACATATTGATGGATCGGTATCCAGACCATTCCGCGATCGATCGACAGCCATAACTGAAATTGCGATATTTCTCAGTGCGATCAACAATGTTTCGTTATGACCGCTCGCGAAGCAGAATTCAACAGTGACAATGGCAAGGTGCATATAAAATATCCAATCTCCTACCTTTCGTATCGAATCGATCTTGTCCAACGCGACGAGCACACGTGGGTCTGAGTCATAATATGAAATTTCACTCGGGTGAAACGGCACCGAGGACCTCTGAATATTTATTCCGTTATTACTCGTAATAAATATCAGACTATTCAAACTGTCCACGAAAACGCACTGCAAAAAAACAAGAAATCTCAGAAACTGTCCCCTCCCCCTTCGACGGGGAAAAGAAAACGTTCGACAGAAAGAAAAACAAAGAAAAAAAAAAAGAAACAAGTTTCTTGTAGTTCGTCATATTTTGCAAGACATTTTGCGCAATCCAATTGAGCAAGATAATATAGCAAACAAGTAAAATAGGCAACATCTTACGTAACACAAGATTATACGCCAGATATATTTCTGCGAAATAAACGAGACCTACATGCTGAAAGAACTTGGGGTGATTGGTGAACTTGTCCACAACCGCATACGGAGCATTGGGATCGGATGAAATCCTGAACTCCTCAGTCTTATTCTCAAATGTATCACCGTAGTCGTAGCTTATGTACACAGCACTGGGGTGGGTCGGGGAAGAGAATCTTCCTGCCTGGAAGCGCATCACGGGCGTACTATCCCTTGCCAGACATATTATTACGTTGGAGCCCTCCCCGACCCAGTGGACCATCAATTGCTGATGTGAATCATTTAAAGCGTTGACCTGTAACGATACGAAAGAGGATCGCTCGGTACTTACGAAGGCCGTGTTGAAAAAGCCATGTATAAATTTGCGTAATTACGCACGCATATTGTTTCTTCTTTTCCGCGCATGAGAACCCCATGAGACTAGGCGGGGAAAAGTAACAGAAAGAAAAAAAAAAGAGTTCTTTTAGGCTTCTCATATTTTGTAAGATATTTCAAGCAAGTCCAATTATGCAGGATAAGATATGAAACAAGAGATAAAACAGACAATATCTTACGTAACGCAAAATTATGTATAGTTATATTTCTGTCAAAGCATTCGTCTGAATGCACATCAACAGAAAAATATTTCAAAGATAATAAATATTTATTCGATGGATATTATAACATAATATTTATTTAGATGCAAATTCTTTCATCCGAATCAAATAAACGCGTTCGCGTGAAAAACTAGAAATTAAAAAAAATCTGTTTTTCGTTATTTGAAAAAAAGATTTTCTTCGTGTGCAGATATCAATATAAACAATATGTGTTGTCAGTACTGAAGGTAATACCGAATAAATATTATATTGTATTTTGTATACTTTTCTCTCAGTTTATAGCTGTTTCAAAAATTGGTTGAGATAACGGAGACGGCTGATACAATGGCAACTTCTTGCAGAAATATCTTTATAGCGAGTCTTTGTCTCCGGATAACAGAAAGTCAGTCACACGAACCAAGTTTTCTCTCCGCGTTCGATGCATTTAAGTACGTGTAAAATCGGGATTGTTGCTAATGCAGAAAGTGCCATTAAAAAGTGTGCACATGAACGCGAAAAAAATTATACAAGAGTGAAAAAGAATTCGTCATAAATAAAAATGTATACAAATTCACGTGAACATTCGCGTATTCCTTCTTCTACGTAAGAAATTTGTGTTGAATTTAATTTTAAAATCATGGTTGCGCATCGTTGGACATTATCACATGAGCAGCGTTGCGAGAAACAATCAAATCGCTCGCGTATTTAATCGCAGCGAGTCGAGACCGGAGTTATATCAGATAGCGGATATTGTTATCGGGAAACTGAGAGGAAAAAAAATTATAATAAAAAGATGCGCAAAATGTTCGGCCGAGCGGCTCGCTGGGAAAACCCGCGCAACGCGCTCCTGAGAGCACAGATTTATTTAGCGGAGACAGATATAAGATGTACGCGTGTGTGTCACTCGACATCTCCATTAAAAGTAATTTTAGCTGAAAGCACATCCAATGGGAGATGAGTCATTGAATATGCATGATTCGAAGAAGACTGCGATTGTGCTAGGCCGTTTGTGTCAGCATAGAGCATTACTCCGGCCGGCACGTTCGATATCGCGAAAAGCGTCGGAATTATCGCCGCGGATAATCATAAGAACGAACGATGCAACGTTTGTTGTATATCGTTACATGCGCCAGGAGTGCGCCGCGAGTCGAACGCGTACTCGCTGAAAGATTGGATTGCGTAATCTCCACAAGCTTCAGCATCGAACGGAGAAAATGAAAAAACGGCATCAGATGCCGCAGGAATCCGAGCTAAAGGTCAATCATTCGTCCGAAAAAGAGAAAGTGAGTCGTCTGGTTTTTTGTCGCGCAATTATGCGAGAACGTCGCAAACAACGCGAGGTCTTTTTTTGCGCTCAGGCGAGACCCTGGACGGAAATATCTGGACGGATAACTTTCGGATGTGAAACGAGCGACAGGATTTAGACATGTAAAAATGACCATCTCTCTCTCTCTCTCTCTATACGTCGAATTCGCGATACGTATAATATATCGAAAAACGTGCTGCAAAGAGAGAAATACACATCGGATTGTTCCGATCGGCCCGCAGACACATTTTTTCAAAAGCTGCCGATTGCTTTCGTGTAAATTACAAATTTTATTTTTATTACAAAGCGTGTTTTATCTTATTTTATTTATTTATTTTTATTAATTATTTTATTTTTAGTAATTATTGATTTTTATTTTATTGAGATATTTCAGCGCAAAAATACCTACGCACTCATCGAACAACCGAAAAGATATACGGCAGATCCCTGGTGAAGGAATAAATATCCAGAAGAGAACGACAAATTTGTTTTTTTACGAAGGGAACTGCGACGGCGATAATACGTAATCGCGATTGTCTCCTTATCTCGTCAACCAAACGTCAGACAAATTTCCTCATTTGACACAAACATGGGCGGCCAGGTATATGACACGCACATGTATTGACGCCGATGTGCGCGCACACCAGAGCGTCGGAATAGATGACTAAGCGCGTCATGTGACTTAATGATACGCAGGAAAATACCCGCAATTTCATAGATAAATATTATCACCGAAAGACGCGACCTTCGCGGCGGGCCGAGAAAACATGCGACGTCGCGTTGCCGAAATATAATAGATCCGCTTGTTTTAGCCGCGCTTTCTGCGTTGCAGAAACGACCGCGAGTCGACGGAATAGCTCCCCGCGGTGGACACGCATTTAAGAGAAACTTACTTAGCGACTATGCAAAGCAGAAAACTCAAGATATGAAGTCAGCGGCACCGCTTATCGCGGTCGGAAGCGCGCTGCGCTAGCAGACGGCTGAAAACGATCGACGGAAAAGCAAAATAATACAAGTGGTAAAAACTCGAGCAGTAGGTGAATCCACAGCCGAGAATCGGCGAAGAAAATCGCCACGTAAAACCGCCATGTCGAAATTCTCGACTGATTAACAACCCCTAAGAGCTAAAGTGGGTGAAATTTCACGCGAATTTGATTTCGTTCTTGTTAAATGTCAAATTATCCGCTGCAAACGGTAACTTCCTCTACTCCTCATCTGATATTCAACGATAATAAAACATTTAATTGCACTTGTTTGACTTTTTTATGTCTAAAATAAAAAGATATATAAAATATATATAAAAAATATACCAGGATAAAATGTCGCATGGCATTAATGTAATTTTCTTTAATGGTAGCTTTTAAGGATATTGATATAAAATCACCAATCACGAATACCAGGCGAATCGATACACTAGGATCCTGCCAGCAGGAGGTCGCCGGGGAAACTAGAGCAAAAATATATATAAGAAACGCGAGAAGAAGCGAGCGCTCCATTATGGCTCTAATGAGCGGTTCGTGAGAAAATGAGAAGGCGTAGAAAAGAGAGCACAAGAGGACTGCTAGACTTTATTGTGATCTATATCAACTTGTTAATCAGACTGAATTAAATGTATTCTTTTGTCAAAAAATTTCATTCGACGGTTTCTGTCAGAAATGTGTGTGTGTGTGTGTGTGTGTGTGTACCTGACTCTCGAGATAACCTGAATAACTAAATGCAACACCTGTGCGGTGAATTAAGCTCACATCAAACCCAGATGATGCAACAAAAAACTCCTACCGAACGTCCAAGTAGCAGCTGAGTAACTTTTTCCTAAAAAACAAGAGAGACGTGAGAGACAAGAGAGCGTGAAAAGTGAAAAGTTTCCCATGTGGTCTCTCGACGGCTGTGCAGGGATCAGGTAACTTTTTCAACAATGAAGATGCGAAAGTTCTCACGTTTCCGCATCTACGGGAAAAGTCGCGTGATCGCCATCACGCACAATGCCCTGCTTCCCCGAAAATGAATTGCGAGGACCAAGGTCGCGCGAAAAAGTTCAAAGTCACACGAGAGAGGGAACAATGATGCTATGACCAACGGCAAGACGTATGATAAGTTTTAAATAGCAATTTCTTCACGACATACACGCCCACACAGACGCGCGGCGTCATCGCGCGAACGGATCGTTACGAGTGCCAGCCAACTCACTCGACTCTCGCGGCTTATAATTCTTTTTTTTTCGAATCATCACGGCCACAACAAAGCACCGTGACAAAGTGCACGCGCATGTCCATCGTACATCGTGCACACGTGCGTCTCATACAATGTATATTGTTCGTCGAGGCCTTTGACGTGCGGGCCTCCACCGCTGCGGCCGTCAGCCGTTGCTCTTAAAAAAGAGATCACGGAAATGTTAAAAAGGGGGAGAAGATACGGAGCGGTTACTGACCTCAGCGTCTCAATAACAGAGAGAGAGAGAGAGAGGAGAGAGAGAGAAAGAGAGAGAGAGAGAGAGAGAGAGAGAGAGAGAGCGAGAGAGAGAGAGAGAGAGAGAGAGAGGAGAGAGCGGGCTGCGAGAGAGGAGAGAGCGGGCTGCGAGAGAGCGAGGCGCGCCGCTGTCGTTTCGCTGAGATTGATTAAATTTACTCCGGAAGGGACATAATACGGGCAATTATGCCCCGGCGCGTTCGTACGCCGCGACGCACAAAGGCCGCGGCTGTGTGTCGTCGCGCGCGAGCGTATATGCCATCGTGAAAAATTCCACACACGACGCGGAGGGCGCGTGCACATGCGTGCGTACGTACGCATACGTGCCTGCATATGTGTGCATATGTGTGAATCGCGCACATGCACGCGCGCGCGCGTAAGCGACGGGGTAATCTTCGTTATCGCGTTTCTCGATTATCGGCTAACGAATACGGTTGCATCGCGAAAGCAGTTGCCAGGTAATCTCGCCTGGACGACTACGGACGGAAGCGACTACGGACCAAGAGACAGTATAAACTTGGGAAGTTTCATAGGCTGCTGGAGCGAGCCTCCGCATGGAGATCCGCAAATGTTGCTGGAGTTCTCCTCGTCAGCAAGGCGTCCCGTTCGAGGGAAAAACTGGAGAAAAAGCGTCCGAAGACGCTGGTCTCAGTGGTTCCCGTCTGCGGGAAACGCGCGCGCGTTCATAAATCTCAGGATCTCACGCACTGCTGCTGTCGTAATCGCGTCGCACACGGATTATCGCGCACAGCCGCGACACGACGACGACCTTCGAGTAGTTTACTACTCCGAGAGCTCCGAGAGAGCGCGATCGCGGCGGCTCTCTACTACGACGCACATCTCTCTCGCACACGCACGTATATACGTACGTGAGTGTGCGATACGCACCTTCGTCGTAATGTTTGGGTTATTGTTTGGATGCTGCTGCTGCTGCTGCTGCTGCTCCGTCGGCGCGTCCCTGCGCGTACGCGACAGCGACGGCGTTTTCTCGTCGCCGTGGCCGCGCGTCGGCTCCGCGCTCCGCTTCGTGATGACGAGCGGCTCCCTGTACGGCGAATCATTCTCCTTCGCAAGATGCAGCGACCTCGCCTTGTCACCGTACCGCTCGCCGTAATTGCACTCGGTCAGCAGGATCAGATTGAGGATCAGCACGACGTAGTAAATGGCCGAACCCCACCGGCCGGCCATCTTGCTCAAACTAAACTTCTTTATTCAATGAACGAGTGTATTATACGAGGGCCATAGTCGCACGGCTCACGTCAGATGCACCGCTCTGCGGCGCACGAGAGCACCAGCGATGAATACGAGCGTGGGTCTGCAGATGGCGCTCGCGCGCGCGCGCGCGTTTCTTTGAAAAATGACGCGACTTCGTCGCGCTCCGACGGGCTTCCGCTCGGAAATTTATTGTAATCGCATGATGAACGCTCGAGCTAATGAGCGAGTCGAGATATTGATTAGGTCTGTACACTTAGAAAAAGAGATAGAACTGACTGATAAAGCTGATCGTAGCAGATGTAACTAGTTTCGGCTAGTTAAGGTCCTGATTATCCGGCCATAATTCTTACCGTGAAATCTCTTTTAGTCTTTTCTAGGTAGAACGATGCTAGACTAATATTCTTTTTGGTTTGTTCTCCGGCTTAAATTTAATATCTCATTGGATACTTTTTCAGGCCAAAGTTGTATCTTGCGTTTACGATTACGACATTGTGTGCGAAAGCCCACGGCGCACATGAAACGTAAGCAGTAAACAAATTGATCAACCACAGCTTACCATTCTCCTTACGACCCAAGGATAATCAACTGCGATTGGTTAACGCCTGGTCTACAATAGGTGTTGTAAGCTGTAAGCCGTAAGAACTGACTAATTATAGCTGATTATTTTTGTAATAATCGACTGTGATTCGCCAATTCTTACGGCTTACAACTTACGACACATATTGTAGATCAGGCCTAAGTTTCTACTGCTACTGATTTTGTTATTTAATAATCTCCTGTCGATAAATTTGTCAGATTAGCGTCGATAAATTAATGTAGAGGTCAGCGTAACTGCAGCAATATATCGTTTTACCGAAGTAATTTAATATACTTGACATAAGACATCCTGACATCACTTTGAATAAGTTTAGATAAGTCTGGAGCACTATCCAGACATTTTCAACGCGTTTCAGATTATTCTGGAATATCTTATGCCATTTGGATTAAAATATCTTATCAGTTTTATTTATACGTCTTCGGTCGAACATCTTGTTTCTCATCAACTTCGACAACCGAATTCCTTTTCACGAGATTCGATTCTTCTTTTTACTTGAGCCACAGGTTGCATTTTTCGCTTTTAATTCGCTTTAGAGTAAAATATGCATGTAACCAGGTAGTCAAACCTACACAAGTAGATCTTACGCAATGTCTGTTATAAATCTTGTCGGTAGCCCGCTACCAAAGATAAAAAAGGAACTGCTAGCAGAGTATAACAGATAAACTGCGAAAACTGAGCAGGATTCGTCGTCCCATCCATCTGAATGTATTCCAATGGGATTTATTGCAATCCAGTTGGATTTCTGCCGCCAATCTGCTGTCAACAGGCTCTGTCAGTAAGTTTTACTAAAATGAAGACAGATAATTTTCAAAAAGACAGATAAGTTATCTTGACAGATAAATGTAATTACATATCTCACTTGAAACACTAAAAGTGTCAGTGACAAAAACAGATAATACAATTGTCTATTTCCTTCTTCATCTATTTCTTTCAAAGCTCATTTGTTGGCAGAATATAAGCTTAAGGGGACTGGAGGGTCAGATTGCTGAAAAATCGTGCTTGTTTTTGATAATATTTTATTGACGAACTGAATAAATATGCAAGAATGAAAATTTTAGGTATAGTTATACAACATATGAAGAGTAGAAAAAGTTTGTTTAACAATGTTTGTTAACAAATACTCGTATAAATATACGATATATATAGCTGAAATATACTCCCCTTTTTTTTTTCAAGTTATCTCGGCTCTCGGTGGTCCGATCAGAGCGAATTTTAGCTAGAAATCTTGAGGATGCTCATCATTATCCGGTGAAGCACTATAAAAAAAATCGAGCAAAATTAACAAAATGGCAGCTATCATTAGGAAAAATTCAAATTTTTCAGTTCTTTTACAATAAAAAAACTAATATCTCGAAATGAAATATTTTGACGGAGTTGTCCATGGTTCACCTGAGAGCCAGATGAACAGATATTATTGCTTTAAAATTTCAAATAGATACGAAGCTCAGTTTCGGAGAAATCACTGCAAAAAGTTGAACAGTAACATTTCGAGAGAAACGCGTTTAAAATTTAAGCGGACGTACATTTATATGAATATTTGTTAATAAACAAAATATTTCTACTCTTCATATGTTATATATAAATATATCCAAAATTTTCATTCTTGCACATTTATTCGGTTCGTCACAAAATATTGTCAAAAACAAGCACGATTTTTCAGTAACCTGACCCTCCAGTCCCCTTAATGGAGATACCGATACAACTACCATGAATCCATCATGATATTCTAATCGAAGCTGCTATCAGGTGCTAACCTTACCTCGCTCCTTGTAGTTGCAAGGCGCGTCCGTGCATGAAGAGCTCTCAGGCTTTCAGTAAAATCATTCGAGAGTCCAAGGTTACCTGGAGAAACGTTTTTCTCCTTTCCTTGAGCACGAGTGCTCGCGAAGCGAGTGCTCCGTTTTTTCGAAAGCTTCGGACAAAATTATCAACGGACAGACCGAGCGCGACCCTGCGATAACGAAGAAGCGGGAAGAGACGGACGAGATGAGTCCGGCCGATAAAGGCAGCCCGAGCTGGGGGAGCAAGCAAGTGCTTTTAATGACGGCGCGCAGATGTAATAATAAAAGTATATTAGATAATGACTTTTTCATTTCCTGACGGGATAGAGCGGTGCTCTAGGCCGCTGCGACGCGGCTATGCGCGTTCACGTAGATCCGCGTCGCATTCGCGGCGAGCGATCGACGCTCTAAACGGGATTAAGGGGATGTTGGACGCCTACGTAACGGGGCTTTCGTGGCCTGCATTGTTCTCTCTCTCTCTCTCTCTCTCTCTCTCTCTCTCTCTCTCTCTCTCTCTCTTTCTTTCATCCGGTTGTGTCTACCTTTAGTATCTGCTTGCGTACATTCATTCCGTAAAAAAACGGCAAATGCTTTTACGGAATGGAAGTAAAAGTGTCGAATAAATCGATGAGTGAGTATACTCCATTAGATCGGAAACAGAGAAGAATCTAAGTAAAGAATTTTTCACCTAAAAAAGTATTCTATTTGTAAAATGATTTTTCCCATAGTCTCATATTCTAAGCGAAGCCTTTTACAGAAAAAGGATTCCTCTTTCGATAAAGCGATTAAAGTGAACCATTTATTTGAAAAAAATGTATTAGATTTATTCTGTTTTCCTCTTATTATCAAGAAGAATGCTTGTAGGCATTTTTCCTCTTCCATCTACTCACACAGAGACACTCTCTCTGTGCATATGACGATCGTTGCCGCATTTGTATTATGAATAACGTCTAGAGCGAAAGAAAAAAGAATCGAGATCGTTATTCAGTTTATATTGTTTTCCTCGGTTGTTTCATCATGAATGAAGTTCCAGAATTTTTGGAGAAAATTAATTTGAAGACATATTGGTTCATATTTCAGCATAAGTACATACATATACCTATTTATCATATCGCGTTGCACACCACATTAAATGTCATTTAGAGTACTTAAAATTATAAATTTATATTTCTTCCTACTTTTTCAGCAGAAAATCAAAAAAATTTAACTAAAATTTTTCCGAACAGTTTCACAATAATTTTTCCTTCTTTCTTTATAAAGGAACGTACGACTAGTAAAAATAAAGTACAGTAAGAAAAAATAGTAATCCTCTTAAAGAAAGATTAAATAATCTGTGTATAAAAGAAAATTTCTATTAAAATCAATAAGATTTGCATTATACATATAATATATAATTCCTCTAACTTTAAGAATGATATGTTTATATTTTCTTCTTAATTTTAGAGGAATGATCTTGAGGCCATATGTAAGAGTAAAATCCTTTAAAGTTTAGATGATTCCGCTTATTCTGAAATTACTTTTTTTGGGTGTTTTTTTTTTATTTTAACCGTGGTCATTGGTGGAAATCAATGTTTTGTGTCGAAACCGGTGACAGTGAATAATGATTTACTTATAAAGGCTTTTCTGGGTCGCTGGTGACGAATCCAGGATCGAAAATACAAAATTCAAAATGGCGAATTTAACAAGGCAGCTTCAAGTAGTTAACTTTGATATTCCATTGTACGTATCAAATATGGCATTTTTTCGGTCGCAGATAACGACTGTCATAAATCCGAAGTTCTCACCAGCTATTTGGCAAAGAAATAATTTCCTTCAACATATTTCACTCGTTAATTGGAGGTAAGAGTAGCTATAATGGAATACCATTAATCACTAGAAGCCGCCATATTGAATCCGCCATCTTAGATTTTATAATTTCGACTGGATTCATCATCATCAATCCGAAAAACATAAATATATCGAATATATTCTTCTCCATAATCGAAACAAATCCATCGAATAACAAAATTCGTCACCTGAAACAGTCATATTGGATCTGCTATTTTGAATTTTGAAATTTCGACCCTGCGTTTGTTGACTCGAAAACCCTTTGTAAAAATTTCATACAAAATCAAATAGGGATATCAATCTTAATATTTTTCAAAAACTGACAAAATTGAGTATTTAGACGCCGCCATATTGAATTCACCATTATGAATTTTTCAAATTTGACTCCGGATTCATAGTCAGTAACCCAAACCAGTGTCAGTAACACAGGTGTACCAAGTTTGATGCAAATCCATTGAAAATTTGCAAAGTCATTCATAGTGCTCATATATGAATCATTACCAGAGAATTGATCAATGCAACATGGCGTACTTTTCAATTGGTTGACATTTGAACTTTCATGCTGCAAAAACGTTTGTAATTCTGCACTACCAAATGGCTTTATCTTATTTGGTTTGATGGAATTGCAGAGTGAAAGTTCAAATGTCAACGAAGTGTCAATGAAGAGTATTCATGTTTATATCGGATCAAAGATTTTTAATCGCAACAATTTCTTTTTCTCTTTGATACAACATGAGGCATTTCCCTCAATTCATTGGCGCACTTGTACTTTCACTCTGTAAAAAAGTTTGCA